GTCATCGGTTTTTGCCCTGCCAGGGAAATTAGCGGCAATTTCTGAGTCAGTCAGCAAAGTACTTAAACCCAAGCTTAACTTTATGCACACGAACTGATGGAAGTCAGTAAGAACTTCATGTGAACTTCATGTGTACTTAAGTGCTTTGCTGGATGAGGGTCCTGCCTGGTGACATGGGGAGAGGAGCTGGGGGGAGATTTTAACGTTGCTCCAGACCTTTGCTCGCCCTGGGAACGAGCAGTCGGGGATGGATGAGCTCGGGGCTGGATCTAGCAGCTTCTCGTGGTCTCTTACAGCCGGTGGTAGACGGTGGCTGGGGCCCGTGGAGCCCCTGGGGTTCCTGCTCCCGGACCTGCGGCGGTGGGGTGCAGTTCTCCTACCGTCACTGCGACAGCCCCAAGCCCCAGCACGGTGGCAAGTACTGCGAGGGCCAGCGTGCCAAGTACCAGTCCTGCCACACCGACGAGTGCCCGCCGGACGGTAAGGATGCCAATTCCCAAATGCACGCTCACCTCTCACCCCTGTTTCTCCAGAACCCATCACCAGGGATTGCTCCGCTCTCCCTTGAATATTCATATTTTGGGAGAGGGGGGCAATAGCCTTCTGCTGGGGGCTGTGATCCCCTCTGGCTGGGTGGGAGGTGTGTGGCATCCCTTCTTTGCTTGCACGCTCCCGTTATCCGCAGCTCGCTCTCACATCTCTGCGACGGCAGAGGAGGACGGAGGTTCCTGCTGGCTTCCCACGGCTTTCGGGGCACATTTTGCCTTTCCTTTCAGGGAAAAGCTTTCGGGAGCAGCAGTGTGAGAAGTACAACAGCTACAACTTTACGGATCTGGAAGGGAATCGCCTGGAGTGGGTTCCCAAGTACGCAGGAGTGTCACCCCGAGACCGATGCAAGCTCTTTTGCCGAGCCAGAGGGAGAAACGAATTTAAAGTCTTCGAGGCCAAAGTAAGATACTTTTGCCTTTCCTTTCAGGGAAAAGCTTTCGGGAGCAGCAGTGTGAGAAGTACAACAGCTACAACTTTACGGATCTGGAAGGGAATCGCCTGGAGTGGGTTCCCAAGTACGCAGGAGTGTCACCCCGAGACCGATGCAAGCTCTTTTGCCGAGCCAGAGGGAGAAACGAATTTAAAGTCTTCGAGGCCAAAGTAAGATACCTGATGACGATAATTACTCTCGCCCCTCGTTATCCCATCTCAGACCAAACGCACGCACCCAGCCATGCCCTAATTGCTCCTCCGCATCCCCCCCTTTCCTAGGTGATCGACGGGACGCTGTGTGGACCAGAGACCCTCTCCATCTGCGTCCACGGGCAGTGCATCAAGGCTGGCTGCGATCACGTAGTCGGATCCTCCAAGAAGCTGGACAAGTGCGGGGTGTGCGGCGGCAACGGCTCGACTTGCAGGAAAATAACCGGCTCGCTTAACCGATCCAAGTAAGGCACCGGGGAGAAGGGGTCTGCAGAGATGGGCTTGGGCGAGAAAAACCCCTCTCATTCTCCTTTCTTCTCTTTTTATTGCGAAAGTGCTAGGCTAGGAATATTAGGACTTCTCTTAGGTCACGTAAAGCCAGTTTGCTTTCCGTACCCGAAGCATCGCACCCAGCTGCAGACTTTGTTTGCAGCAGACAGACTCGAGGGGTGCTTGGCTTCCCCTCTGTGCCGTTAACTGGGGTTTGCAACAGCCCGGTCTCTTCCCCAGACACCGGGGCTTATGCTAAGTTTATTTTGGGGCAGTATTATGCAAGCCAAGCAAAGTTTGTTTCTTAAAATAGTAGCTGGTACTGACACTGGCGATGGGCTCAGTATGCCACTGCAAAGAAATCTGCTGCCCCGAGGAGTTTACAACGTGCATCTCCCCCCAGTGCAGTCAGTTGGACGCATATTCAAGGGCTGGTGCGAGATATAAATGGTTCAATAACTTTTCCCTGGGCTTAGGGGTGAATTTCAGTCCTGGGACACGGGCATGGAGGCAGCCGCTTCCCTCGCCCAAGATCTCTGTTGCTTTGCCAAAGAGCTGAATTTATGGCTTTTGTTGAAAAGATTGTAACAAAAGCCCAACGCGTCCAATTCCATGCGGCGAGGTGACTCACGCGGTCAAATTACATTTCCTAAATGATTTCCTTCCAGGGAACCAGCTGAAATTGGGGTTTCCACTCTCCTATGAATTGTTTGTGGTTGACTAAGGAGAGATTAGCGTGGTAGCTACGGCCAAGAAGAGATCCCATTAAGATCAGGGTTAGGGAGGCCAGGGTGACTGAGAGCAGAATTTGACCCAAAGGTTTTTCTCCAAAATACTCTAAACCTAATTACCGGTTGCAGCGTTGACCGTGGGGATGTGTGGAAAACAATCCTGCCGGCCCCTTGGCGTGAGTCGCACCAGGGTGGCATTTTATTGTAGCGGCAAATAATTACCATAGTACGGAGTGCCGAGGGCTTGAGTACCGAAGCCTTCCCGGTGTTGTCCAGGGAGCCGTGGTGCTCCGGGGATGGGCTTTGGCTGACTTTGCAGGGAAATCCTTTTCCCGGCATGGGAATGTGCTCTGTGCCCTCCAACAGGAGCTCTTCTGCCTCGTGGTGGTGGCTGCAAAACCCTTCCAAAGATGAGCCCAGAGTGAGGAGATGCCCACCCGTGGATAGGGACGGTTTTGCTGCCGTAGTACTTGCTGTCTTCTAGGAAAGGCTTTTGAGTTAATATCAAGTCATCTACAATATGAGATGTCTGTTGGGTTAACTGTTTAACTGCTGATCAGGTTTTAGCGGCAATGTCTGGCCAATGTATGTATCCTCTGTGCGTACAATGCCAGCAGCACCCCGACTCTCTGCTATTCTGCTGGTCTCTAGCTATAGCTGATATTTATCCTTCAGCATCACCAGCGACAGCATCACTGGGCAGAGCCAGGCTTTTAGTCCTGAACACTTCCCCCATTTCAAAAGAAAGGGAGTAAAGGGAATTCCCCACCAAGGCTGGTAACCGCGGGGCTGTTTGTTTGATTGCATCGCTCATTTTTGCATGTAATTCAGCAAAATCTTCCAGCCGAGCACACATCTGGCACGATTGCAATATTTCCAGCTCCTGAGCGCTCTGGGTTACAAAGAAACAGCTTCAGACCCACGATCCCACTCGCCGAGTGCTATCCCCTGCGTGGGTCTCCTCTTAATAAGTCCGGGAAAATAACGGTGTCCCTTTGCCCCGTGCAGATACGGCTACAACGACATCGCCACCCTCCCCGCTCATCGACATCAAACAGCGCAGCCACCGAGGGGTCCGTCATGATGGGAATTACCTGGCCCTGAGGACCCTCGAGGGCAAGTACCTGTTGAACGGAGACTTTGCCATCTCCGCCATGGAGCAGGACATCCTCATTAAGGGGACCATCCTGAAATACAGCGGCTCTATGACGACCCTGGAGAGGCTGCAGAGCTTTCAACAGCTCCCGGAGCCCCTGACTGTCCAGCTGTTGACCATCGCCAGCGAGGTCTTCCCACCAAAAGTCAAGTACACCTTCTTCATCCCCAAGGATGTCCCTTTCAGCAAGCAGAAAGGCAAAGAGAAGAAGTCGGCCAATGTCATCCGACCGATGCTGACCTCCCAGTGGGTCCTGGGTGACTGGTCCGAGTGCTCCAAGACCTGTGGCTCTGGCTGGCAAAGGCGGACGGTGGATTGCCGGGATGTGGAGGGTCAAACCTCCTCCGCCTGCGACAGAGCCCTCAAGCCCGAGGACATCAAGCCCTGCGGAGACGTCCCCTGCCCGCTCTGGCGCCTGGGTCCCTGGTCCCCTTGCTCCCAAACTTGCGGCGAAGGCGTGCGGACGCGCAACGCCTCTTGCATCGATTACGCCGGTCCAC